AGTGACGTCATACGCTGGGCGGGGCCACACCGTTTGAGGGGAAAACTCTTTGTTTTCCCCTCAAACAGCGTGGCTCCGCCCCCAGCGTGCGACGTCACTTCCGGGTGATGCGCACGCGGGGGTGGGGTTTCCCCTGGGCCCCAATTCCGGCGCGCCGGAAATTGGGGCTCCGACCCCGGCTGCATTTGGCAGCCCTAGATGGGGGTATATGAAGTGTGGGGGTCCAAACCTTATTTTGGGTGCAGGGGGCACTTCCTTATTCAAATCTCCTTTGAAATACAGGCCTCGGGGAAGCCCTGCGAACAGAAGGTCGTGGCATCAGAAACGGTATTTGGACCGGGCATCACTTTATGTCACCTTGCAGGGCACAGTCCTCAGAGCGTGGGGATGTGTCATTTCAGGTGGTCCAAATATTGTTTTGGGGGCAGTCTGGCCCCAGTGTCTGCCTGTGTGTGTGTCCTGGGGGCACCGCACTTTGGAGCAACTGGCACCAGAACTGTGCTTTGGACCAGGATACAGCATATGTCCCCTCGAAGGGGAGAGTCCTGTGAATGTGGGGGTATATGATATGTGGTGGTCCAGACCTTATTTTGGGGTTCAGAGCTTTCCAACTCACTCTCCTTAGTGTTTCTGAATGAGTACACAAATAAGTAACAAATAAGGAATGAATAAGGAAGTGCGAATAAGGAACCAACTTCAGCCTCCTACTAATCTGTGTGATCTCTGGGGGAAAGCCCGGCCAGATGGAATTGCTGGCAGTCCTCAGTAGCCACACAGCAGCTTCCTTGTTTGAAAATAAATGTTTATTGTTGCAATACGAAAACCAGCTCGGCCCCAAGATCAATAAATCTTCTGCCCCTTTGTTAATATGTGTTTATACATACATCACACTAGGATAGCCAACTTTTTTCCTGGCTGGATTCTTGTGCCTTTTTTAATGGCCATGTGATAAGCGAAAACTTCCTGAGTTAACAGATATACTAACGGGAAAAGCTACCCCTGATGAATTTCTGCTTGTCACGTACTAGTCATGCACAGAGGCTCAGCCAGATCTTACTGTACAAGGAATGATGAGGCATCAGAAGTCCTCTGAAGATGAATTTATGATCATTGAAATAAACGAGGGTAGGCGTGGTACGGGCACAAATGCACTGGCCCCCACCCTGTGTCATGTGATCATGTGTGGCTTGTGAGCATGGGATTTATGTGTGATGTTGATTTCAGCACATGTAACGTCACCTGCAACTGCTAAGCCCTCGGAACTGCTTGGACATTTTGCTTGTTCGTATTCATTAAAGCAATCTTAACGATAGCAGAGAAGCCAGCTTCATTTCAATGCCTTCACATTTCCTGAGCAGCTATAAATTGGATTGTGGGGTTGAAATAAAAACCAATGGAGCCCATCTTGATGTGCTAACAGGAATATGTTTGTTTTTGGAAACCACCCTTTCACCCTTCCGTTTGGGAACTCTCTGATTGTGAAACTTTTTTTATCACATTGTGTGAAATGGGGGTGGCTAGTGTCTCATATGATGCTGAATCATCATGTGGTTTTGCTGAATCACCTTTAAAGAAGCATGCACACAACAGACATTCACCATCTTTCTGACAATCCTATATGCAGACCTATTTTACACTGCATGCCTAAGAAGCCATAAATAAGACACACAACACAATCAGTTTAGAACAGCTTCCTCATTTTCCTATGCACTGAATGGTGTCATCCAGGGGTCATTTCCTGCAGGAGCGTACAGGAGCGGAGCTCCAGCAGTAAGGAGCCCAGGGGGCTGGCACATGCAACAAGCCCCGCCCCCTGCTCCCAGCAGCCCTCAGTCAGGCCACAAGGAGCAAGAAACAGCCAGGTGTTACAGAGCCCCCCCCCCGGCCCACCCTCAGGTATAAGCTCTCCCTCCCCATCTGTGAGGGCAGATCTGCGCACCCCCCCCCCCCAATAGCTAGCAATCCAAAACAGTCCAGTGAAGCCTGAGCGGTGGGTGTTGCCTTCTGACACACTTCTGGTGATGTTGGGGTGTGTGGCATATGTAAATAAGTTATGCTAATAAGTTATGCTAATAAGTTATTCACAGAATTTCCAGTGCCATATCTGGCCTAAATTCATCTGTGTGCTGTTTTCAACAAGCATATACCTCAGGAAAACCCAAAATCTGGGCAAGAAAAACAGTTCCAGAGCTGGTATTGAAAGGCATACTCTTGGAATGCAGAGGTTCCATTTTAACTGTCATGGCTAGTAGCTGTTGATAGACATTTCCCCTGTGAACTTTGTTCCATTTAAAAGCCACCACATTCTGTGAAAACAAAGCCTCTCCTGTTTGTATTTCTTTTTACATAGACTTTCAACCAAAGGGTTTGATCTTTTTTTTAAATTCTATTTTTATAGCCTGAGGATTTTTATGCATATCATTTTTGGTTGCTGAATGTTGTTTTATGCTGTTATGCTATTTTATGCTGTTGTTATGCCTCCGGTTTGTTTTTATGTCATGTTTAAGCATCAACAATTTTTAGGTTTTTGTGATATTATTGTATGCTTTTACTTTGTGAGCCATCTTCAGAAGCTGTCTGGGAAGGCAGGTATAAATACTCCAAATAAATAAATAGGACTTCCTTTCACTGTCCAGTTTTATTGGGCAGAACTAAGTCCTGGTATGATGAGAGAAGGGAAAAATTCTCTCTGTATCCACTCTCTCCTCACATGCACAGTGTTATTATCCTATGTCATGTTTCTCGTTGGTTGCCTTTTCTCTAAATTAGAAGGCCCCAAACACTTTAGCCTTTCCTTATAGGGAAGACACTCCAACTCCTTTCTAATTCTTGCTGCAGTTTTCTGTACTTTTCTCAGTGCTGTGATATCCTTTTTGAGACAGGGTGAACAATATTGTGTGCAACATTCCAAATGTGGACACTGGACAGCCGGTGTGATAGAGAGGTCAGAGTTCCAGGTTTAAAACATGGTTTATCATATGTATCATATCATATGGCTGTGAGAATCAATGTGGTGCTGTGGTTAAGAGTGTTGGACTAGTACCTGGGAGACCTGGGTCTGAATACCCACATGTGCCATGGAAGCTTGCTGGGTGACCTTGTGCCAGTCACACTCTCTCTGCCTAACCTACCTCACAGGCAGAGTGTCAGGATCCACAGTCAAACAACTGAGCACACGCTTCCAAGAAGGTTATACTTTATTGCTAGAACTATGGTTGCAGGAACATGTTCACTGTTAGGAATAACTAATGCATGGCAAGCATCAAGAGATATAGTGCATTCAAACCAGCCCCCCCACACACACCGGTGGGCCAATCGGCTGGACTCCCGCAGGCGGGAAGGAAACCCCAGAACAGTTAGAATCGAGGCTGGGAAACGAAACTAGTCTCATGGTTAATTAATGGGGAGACACTACATGGCAGGACTACAAGGTCAGAGATAACAAAGGCAGAAGCAGGGAAAGGAATGTGGCATCAACTGGTACACAGGTCAAGCCTGCGAACCTGCAGCTATAAACAATATGGCAGCGTAGCTAACACAGGGCTATTTTGGGGCAGGAACGCACAGGAACGGAGTTCCGGCTGGCTTCAGAGTTGGCCACACCAAATACAGCCAAAACCTCTGCATGCATGGCTACAGAGGGAAGGCCTGGAGAGCAACCCCCCTGGTGACTCCAAGGCGGGCGGGCCAGGGGTGCCCCTGGAAGGATCAGGGAGGCATTTAAATGCCTCCCCATGCCTTCCCCGGCCTGTCCAAGGGCTGGCTTGCCCAGGCTCCCCGCAGCCATGGAGCGCCCGGACAAGTCAAGGGAAGGCATGGGGTGTTGCCTAATATGCTAACGAGTTTCTGCTTTTGGGTGTGGCTTGTTACGCTAATGAGTTCCTGCCGGGCTTTTTCTACAAAAATAGCCCTGCTCACAGGGTTGTTGTAAGGATAAAATAGAGGAGAGGAGATTGATGTAAGCTGCCTTGAGTCCCCATTGGGGACAAAGTGTGTTTATAGATTCTGAATTAAGCGATGGCCTCTCCATGAAAGAGATCTTAGGGTAGTGATTGGGCAGCTCTGTGAAAACATCAGCTCAATGTACAGTTTTGGCCTGTCTTCACATAATGTCAGTGGATAGGGATGCCAACCTCCAGGCGGGACCTGGGGGTCCCCTGGAATTACAACTCATCTCCAGACTACAGATATCAGTTTCCCTTGGGGGGGAAATGGATGCTTTGGTGGATGGAATCTGTGGCTTTGGACTCCACTCAGGTCCCTGTCCTCCCCAGGCTCCACCCCCAAATCTCCACCCTACCCCCCCATCTCCTGACGGTGGCCGGGGGGGGGAACCTGGCAACAATGCATCAAATATTAATTTGTGCCTCCCCTGCTTCAATCAGGGTCTCTGACTTTTAATATCTTTAAAGTGCCATTTGTAAGTTTATCCATTTCCAAGTTGGCTTTGCAACTTATTTTAAAACATTCAAAGAGCTAAATGGGACCCCCAGCAAGTCAGCATGTTGTATAAATGACATCTACAGAACTGGTCCCCTGCCAAACTTCTACAATAGTGTCAGTTGCCCAGCATATATACAGTTGAACACAGCTTTCCATTTCCAGTTTTTTAAATGTTGCTTTTGGTCATACTTTGTTTGGTGGTAGGTTAATTTTCCAACTTTTTTTTGCTAAGTTTATATAAAGATAAAATCATACCTGAGAAATTGTGATGAGTCTGTTGTAAAATTTTATTATCTTAGAGAATGGACATTTTAAAAATATCACATTTCAAAGGTTCTTTAATTAATTGCTCCTTTTGCATCATTTCAATTGGATCCTCCGCAGAAATCCTGTTTCTGTTCATGCAAATACTTCAATATCCAATAAAAGACAGTATAAAGGTTTGATTCTCTGCTATCTGAAAACAGTCATCCTTTCCATAGGGCAAAAAGCCTCCAGATACCTTGCAGAAATAGCTCCCAGAGACATCTGCTAGATGTTTAGTATTCACTGACTGTTCAGACATGGCTGCGAAAGGGACTAGGCTTGTCAGATGATTGAAAGGACCGACATGGAGGGTTCTGGACTGAAAAGGGGGCAAAGTACTCAGCTGCAAAGGTGACCACATCATCTGGCTTGCGAAGGAGCAACAACTGCAAGAAGTCTGCCAGCAAGTTACTGAGCTCTGGATGGCGCCGTGCATAGGTGGCGTGGCTTGCTTGCAACTCTTCCTAAAGGAAAGAAACTAACCAGTTAGGCAAAAGGACCCCAAATGGAACAACAGGGTGGGCTAAATTAGGCATGGATTTACCTTTCCTCTTCTATTTTCATACTGGGAGATCTAATCATGGATCTCCTGAACCCTGTGTCGTTTGACCCTTTGACATATGTAACCACCCACATATTGGAAGCAAGACTCCACCTTTCAGCTTGTCTTTCATCACCACACAGCTCACCTTTCTATCTAAGAATTGGGAGTACAACTCCATATCCTCCTCCCAGTCCAGGGGTATTTTCTCAAAGATTGGATGAGGGTCTGGTTTATCTGGGAAGGGGTAGACATGATTGAGCAAGAAATGTTAGGAATATAGAATCTGGAGACAGCAGTGCAAAAATAGTAGGAAATTATGGCCTCTGTTAGCGCAACTCTTGTGTAATGAATACCCAAATTTAAAAAGTTATTTTGCCCAATTAATTTGATCTGTTCCTAGATGATGCCCACAACAGAGATCTCATCAACCTCCTTTGCTGATATCCGTCCTAAGGGAAGGGACTTGCATGCCCAAACCCAAACTGGGGCATCCCACAGATTTCTCTTTACCTATTTCAATCAGAATGGGCACCTGCTCGATCAACATGATGACTGGGGACCCAACCTGGACACGACGGGACAAATGCCTGGGCAGAGGAGGCAAGACAGAGAATTTGTCAACAGGAACTTTCAGTATCTATGTGTGTCAAAGCAAGTGGAAGGCAAGAGCCCTTTGGGACAGCCCCAGCACGGGACTCCGGGATGCACTGTGAATTGACCTTCACATGGTACACAGTGGGTGCGTTCAGACGCGGCCTTTCTGCCGGCATAAACTGCACTGGTTGGAACCGGTGCAGTTTATGCCGGCAGAAACGCGATCAGACTTACCTCCTGTCTGCGGAGCCCTCCGGTGGACGCCCGCTCACACGCTGCGGGCGTCTGCGTGTGTGTGTTTTTTTTTAAAGGACAGTTTGAGCATGCGTATAGGCAGCTATTCAGAGAATGGCAATTTTTGCGCATGCTCAACCCCACCCCCCGTACATTTAAACTTTAAAGATAAGCACTTACCTTTAAAGTTTAAAGCCCAACCTAGCCTCCCTGTAGTCCCGGACTCCTTCGGGAAGTTAAAGTAAGGCTTTTTTTTTTTTACACAAACGCTCAGGGCGAAGCTTCGCCTGAGCGCATATCGCTTCCTTTTTAAAAAAAAATGGCGGGGGAAAGCCGGAAGCCTCAGGCTTCCGACGGAAGTGTCTCTGTAACGGAGGAGAGCGATCAGACGCCGGGGTGCACTGATTACAACCGTTGCACTCTGTTTACCACCAGTTTGGACCTAGTGGCAGAGTGCAACGGTTTAAAGGGATTTACAACGGTTAGGGACGGGAGGGAGATGTTCGCCGTGTGAACGCCCGTAAGTACACCGGTTGGAACCGGCACCCTAACCATTGTAAATCCCCCATCTGAACGCACCCAACGTGTCAGAAACACTGTCTATGCCTTCAAGTAATCTGAGGCACCAAGAAAAGATGCAGCGGCTTTACTGTTCATTGCACTTCTCCGCCATTGTTTTCATTCTCCTGACCACAGCTGGTGAGAGGAGACTGTAGAAATGGGACCAAAGGAGGGAGGTGGACCAAAGATGGGGGTGGGCTGCAGTGGCTGCCCCCTCAATGCCTCAAAGCATACAAAAGTTCAGGCAATGTATCCATGGGAAGATGTGCCAGCACCAGTCACCATATACATAAACAGCAATTAAAACAAACAGGAAGGAGGGCTCATAACAGAATGCCTAACCAAAAAAAACCCTCTTCACTTCCTGGCAGAAGACTGATAGCAGAGTCAGATTAATTCCACAGTTTATCGTGCTGCAACCAAGAAAGCCCTTTCTCAGGTTGACCAAGAATATGACATCAAAGAGAAACCTGGGAGTTGACCAAGGTTGTGGTCACACGTGCGAGATAACGCGGGGGGGGGGGAAGCGAGACTATTAGCTCCGTAGGGATTTGACCCACAGTTGCGCGATCACACAGTCCATGGGAGCTGTGGGGGCAGCCCGCCACTGCATGATCAGACATAACCGCAGGTGAATCATTGTTGGTTTTTTGCCGCATGTTTCCGGTGTACTTCAGTGAGGAATTGATGATTCACAACTCTGCACTTAGTGCTCCCTGTGCAGTGTATGATCATGTGCATACCGAAATGGGGGGGAAAACAATGGCATGGAGTTGGGATGGCCGGATCAGACCATCCCAACGCCATGGGAGCGCACTGGAGCGATCAGACAGGGGAAAGTCCGTCCCTGGCCTGTAGCAAACCGTTTGCTACTGGACTTTCCTTAGTGTCTTTCAATTCCGATTCTGTGGTGGAGCAAAATGGGTTGCCGATGGGTGTGGGACGCTTCCCAGATGTTTGCGTCTGATCGTGCCCTTTAAATCCGCCCGGCATCCATGCCTATGGCGGGGCTACAAGAAAACCTTTTTTAAAAATTGGGGAAAGTACCCAGAAGCACATGAAGGGTCTGGGTCTGTGAAATTCTATTAATCTGCTGTTCCAAACCTAGAGCCATACTTAAAACAATTATACTGCATATATATATATTTTAAAGGAAGAAGTGCCGTTCCATATACAGCCTTCTTCCTATTTTTAAACATTATACATGTAGTATAATTGTTTTAAGTATGGCTCTTGGTTTGGAATAGCGAATTAACGAAGTGGGAATCCAGAGCAGGCAACCTGCGCATTGCACAAGGGAAAGGGAGAATAATAATTACTCTGTACTAACTCAACGTATTTTTCCCAATCAACAATGAATTTTTAAAGGCCATGGATTAAAAGGACACCATGGTGCAGCACTGAGTGCAAACAAACGTACTAGTGGCAACTTACATGGGACAAAAAACATTCGAGGATTTATTAGGACAGAAGACGTTAATCAGACTGAATGCAGAAAGAGGTTGGGCACAAGAGATTAGAGTGGCACAGACTTACCCATCGGACAGGAAGCAGAACTGCCAGCCCAGAGGGACCCCTTCTATGGAATGCACGGCTCTCTCGATCACAAACACGTCCACCTCTTCCTTCTTTACCTGCTGTTTCTGGAAACCCAAGGCCCTCTGGGAAGGGAGTGAGGGATGAGGATAAAGGAGGAGGGATGGTGCTTAAGCGCCAGTGCCCTGATTCCCATAGGGAGCAAACCGTTACTGTTAATAAGAAATGCACTATCTAGTTTGGTTCAGTTTGGAGGACAGGCCATTCATTTGCCTTTGGGTCCACTGAGACTAGCTCTAGATAAATGGATACCTACGAGAGGGCCTGGTTTCCACTTCTGTCTCCCCACCCACCCACACACACCTTCTACTCCACCTCCCTGCCCTCCTATCCTGCGGCTGATCTTATCCCACCCATTTGTTTTATTTTCCTATCCCTTCCAATAGCAGGGTGAGGATGACTCAAAGAAGGGGTGGAGTTAGTAGGCTGAGATAGTCAGGCAAGTGGTACAAGAAAGGCCACAGGGTCAGTGGAGGTCATTCCAGGCTAGTTCCATTCCATTACTGCTCATTAAACTTCCTGACTCACCACCAAGTCACTCCCAGTTAGTACCCCAATTTCCCTACTGTGTGTTTCTTACATAGGTGGAGGTACAGACGTGATGGTCACTGTCAAACGACAGGAAAATGGCATTCTCTGGTACAGCCTGCCTCCTGGCCATCACCCGCAACACCAGGAGGTTGGCAGATTCTGCGACTAGGCCTTGGAGGAGTTCACATTTATAAGAAGAGCTGCTGACATGGATCTCTTCCTGAGGCAGAGAAAGAAAGGAGAAGGCATTCCTCACAGAATTCCTACCAACTACCTACTTAGCAGGTTGCACTAGAGAAAAGACAGTGGGGCTTCAAGATGCAATCCAGGCATGGGCTAGCTTCATGAGGCAGCTTTCATTCTTAACTAGGAGTGAGTGGAAGACACCGGAAATTCCACATTTTACGCCCTGACCTGGATAGCCAAGGCAAGCTTGATCTCGGAAGCGAAGCAGGGCCAACCCTGGCACATACTTGGATGGGACACCTCCAAAGAATACCAGAGCTGGGACACAGAGGCAGGCAATAGTAAGCCACCTGTCAGGGTTCGATAGTCAGATCACACCACACAGTGCTTCATTCTGTTTATTGGTAGTTCATAACTATGACACGTGAACTTATTTTGTCAGGAATGGCCCAAAGCAGCAGGGCACCCTGAATTATACTGGTTTCGAAACACACACGCACACCCCGTTACAAGCAGAAGCCAATAAGCACTGTGTGCGCACGCGGGGAAAAGAGAGTGGGTGAAATAGAAGCAGTTTGTTCCCAGCAGGTCAAGAGCAGCCGGAACCTCCAAGGTCAGAAAAGCAAAAGCAGATAATAACCCAGACAGGAGACATCGTCGGTGTACCAGGCAGAGGCGAGGAGGATCTCCCCCCCACACATCTCTGGTTAACTGACACCACATCTCTGAAACATCCTAGCCCCAGGCGCTCGCGCACACACAAACTCACCAAAAAAAGAAATCCCACATTTTACATAACAGTAAGCAGGTTTCCAACAAAGAAAGGAGAAAGGCCTTTGGCCTGGCTTTGAAATTACAGTCTGCTTTTCCATGCACAATTCATTTTACTCACATCTCTTTCAATAATAGTTTTTGTCACAACAGTCTGGCCTTGGTGTTTCACCACATGGGTTCTGGTTTCCACTGGATGCTCCCTGAACTGCAAGAAAAAATAAGCACAGCAAGGTGACACATCTGTATCATGCTTGTGTTTATGTCCAGGCCACAGAATCTATGGAAGAATCGGGCCATGAATTGGGAAAACTGACCAAACAGAATGAACTAGTACATTGTATCCTGCTCTTCCTCCAAGGAGCTCAGAATGGTGTACCTGGTTCTCTTATTTTATCTGGACAACACACTGTCAGCTATGCTGCCATGATGGGGGGGGGAGGGATTAATTCTCTTCCTATTTGGGCCGGATGCTGCTTCTTTACTTTTGCTTCTGTACTGCTTGCTTATCAATGACCTTGCAGGTTGCTAGTGTAGTGTCTGGGATGCCTGGACCTGTGGGAGCGCTTTCGGTTCCCAGCTGCGGCCTCTAATGGCCTGGGGACCCTTCTCCTGCACGCGGGAGCCTGGCTAATTGGCTTATGGAAAGGGGGGGGTGCATACGAATACCCTATATCCCATTATGCTTGTCGGACCGTTGCCATTCTTAACAGTGACTATGTTAATGCCTCTATAGCTCTGCAATAAAGTATAACCTTTCTGATAAGCATGTACTTGGTTGTTGGCTGTGGAACCTGTCACAAACCAGCAAGGAAGTTTAGGCTGAAAAAAGAATGGCATCCATGGTCATCTCATGAGCTTCATGGCACAGTAGGGATTTGAATGCTGGTCTCTCTAGATCCTAAACTGAGAGACCACTACATTAAATTGGCTCTCCTAGAAGGCTGAGACAAGTTCCCCATTCAAATAACTCTGTCCCCATGATCTCATGCAGCCCTGGGATAGGAAGGTGCTGGAAATGTATTCTGCAGAAACTGGAGGTGGTATGGTGAGTGTACAAAAAGCATATTTTGTGGTAATGAATGTTACCTCAAGTTGTGAGGATTCCCAGATAGCAAAATAGCACATGCAATTTAGGCCTTAGACTGGTCCTAGCCCATTTCATTTTTTGCCTATTCCATCTAATAAATTATGGTGGATCCATCTTCCCAGCATGTATGTGTGTGGCTATTACCCTAGTCCTGATATTAGCTCTGTAACAGCCAGGGGTCATTTCCTGCAGGAGCGCACAGGAGCGGAGCTCCGGCAGTAAAGAGCCCAGGGGGCAGGCACATGCAACAAGCCCCACCCCCTGCTCCCAGCAGCCCTGTCAGGGCAAGAAGCAGCCAGATAAGTTGCAGAGCTCCCCACGCCCCCCCGGTCCAAAACAGTCCAGTGACACCTTTAAGACCAAGTTTTATTCAGGTACAAGCTCTCCCTCCTCTGCGAGAACAGATATGCATGTTCCCCCCCCCCAATAGCTGGCAATCTAAAACAGTCCCGTGGAGCCTGAGCGGTGGGTATTGCCTTCTGACACACTTCCAGTGATGTCAGGGGGTGTGGCATATGCAAATAAGTTATGCTAATGAGTTATGCTAATGAGCTCCTACACCTCTTTTTCTATGAAATGACCCCTGGTAGCAGCCCATGGCAATAGATTACACAGCCTACTCTAAAGAACTGTTTTTGTTGGCTTTAAGCATATTTTTAACACATGTGTATGGGATATATGTGCACCCTTTCAGTGAGGCAAACAGCATCCCTCTGGGATTGTTGGGATAACAGCCAAGACTGAAGCCCCTTCCTTGCTCCCTCTATCTAGGTACCAATCCAAATGGGGCCCCAGATGCTTGTGAAATTAGTTTCCAGCAGCATGACATTTGAGTGACTTCTTAATAGCCAGGTCAGGGAACCCCAACACAACACATCAAAAATTGTATCATGACCCTTTGCAGGAAAGACAGAAAAATTGTGCCAGAATTGCAGATGCTCAGGTTCTATCTGGCGGACTGCGGGCTACAGAAAAGAGAACAAACGAGATAGTTACCCTCACGCTTTCCTCTGTGTGCTGCTCCAGTGTCTCTAGATTCTTTGTTACATAACCTGATATAGTAAGGGATAAAGGCACAAAAGACAACAGTGAAGATTAATGTTATCAGTTCACTCTCTGTAGCATAGCCCAGCATGTTAATCTTGTTTCCATATGGAAGTGGTGAACAGTTCTAGAACCACAAAAGCCAGCAGAAATCCACAGACAATAACAACAACAACAACAATAATAATAACCATAACAATAACAATACTTTCCATTTATTAATCGCTTTCCCCAGTGGGCTCAAAGCGATGTACAGTTACTCAGTATAGACAGGGGACTAACAATGTTTGTAGGGGAAAGGGAAGACAACATATATTAATTTTTAATTGCACGTGCCGTCACTGCCCGGTATAGATGTCCTTCTGGCTTGGCTCCGTCGTTTTCCGCAGGGCTGCTTGTTGGCCAGGCTTCAGGACCCGTATGTCAATCGCCACACTGCCACCGCCTGGCCGGAACATCCATTGCAGGGATTCTTATGTAGCCCAGAAGCTGTTTCGCCTTCCAAGCCTCGACCAGGACGTCCGACCGTAAGCTAACACCCTCCCACAAGGGAGATTGGCGTGCCCACTCTCTCTAAGGAGTGGTTCCCATTTTATTTACTCGCCGAAGCTTTCTAATCGCTGGGTGGATGATGAGCTGGGGACAACAGGCTGGCTGCTCACACCAGCGTGGGGCTCGAACTAACACAGTTCAGATGTTAAGACAGTGGGATATACCCACTGTGCCACCGCTCCCCACCCACTGGAAAACACACAGATTTCAGAACAAGGGAGCTTCTCCCCTTTTTGCACCCAGCTGTTGCTATTAGTGTCACTAATATCCAGTGCTCTGTATTACCTCCGCCACAATGAGAGACCACCAGGAAAGCCACAGTGAGAACATGCTGCTGTAGACGTTTGTCATCTCATCAGTCACCAGCACCCTTGTAACAGGTTCCTGTTGTCCAAAACACTTCCTAACCTTCACCTAGTTTTGCAGTGGCTGCACTAACTGGTACTATTTAGGGGACCAGAAAGGGATGGGGCAGAGAAAGAGGACGTGAAAATTCTTTCTCACCCATGCAAACAGGAGAAATGCAGGAAGTGTGTTACCTTGTTCAGCAGATTCAATGGCAGTGGTGTCTCAGGCCAAGGTCCTTTGCAGGGGGAAGTGAGAGGAGCAATCTAGTTCTGTAGGTTCTTTCCCATCCCCTTGCTGCTCCCCAGGGGTCATTTCCTGCAGGAGCGCACAGGAGCGGAGCTCCGGCAGTAAAGAGCCCAGGGGGCAGGCACATGCAACAACCCCCACCCCCTGCTCCCAGCAGCCCCGGACCATGAGGAGCAAGAAGCAGCCAGGTAAGCTGCAGAGCCCCCTCCCGGCCCCCCGGTTCAAAACAGTCCAGTGGCACCTTAAAACCCAGTTTTATTCAGGTACAAGCTCTTCCTCCTCTGCGAGGACAGATCTGCACATCCCCCCCCCCAATAGCTAGCAATCCAAAACAGTCCAGTGGAGCCTGAGCGGTGGGTGTCGCCTTCTGACACACTTCCGGTGACGTCAGGGGGTGTGGCATATGCAAATGAGTTATGCTAATGAGTTATGCTAATGAGCTCCTGCACCTCTTTTCCTACGAAATGACCCCTGCTGCTCCCTACATGTCTCACTGCAACTCCTCCTTTCCTTGTCATCCTGAATTAGACAGATGGAGTACAAACCCTGCACCCCACAAAACTGAGCAGTCTGCACTCCAAACTGGGGTGGCTCTTGCATAGATTGGCTATTGGAAAGAACTTACAGGAAGGGAGTTTTTAATAGAAAATAACATCAGGAAGAATACTCTAGAGGTGTCTTCCCTGCTAAAAAGAAAGAAAGAAAGAAACAGATGGATGGGAAGATATGAATTTGTGAAGGTCCCATCCACGTTGGTGCCATTTTCCTTACCTCAAAACCCACACCATCATAGGGCTCCTATCAGCTTTTCAAAAGCTCAATAATTGCTAGATTACTATACCATTATAATGGTACAATGACCTGTTGCCACAATCTTCCCATTCCTCTGAATCCCCGGCTTTCATTTTCATTTTTTTTAAAGTCAGGCAGTAGCAGAGATGCACCTTTCCCCTTATATCGCCCTTATTATCTCCACAATGAAAAGGGCTAGAGGCTGACTTTTTCAATGAAACCTGGGAATTCAGAGGAACAAGTAGTAGATCATTATAATGTTATAATGCAAGAGCAATTACTTTTTAAAAAAAACTAGAAAAAGCCCTCCAACAGTACAGCAGAGGGAAATTTCTGCAGAAATGGTAGCTGGCAGAATAAAGGACACACAGACCTTATGCTTGTCGACCTAAAGCTCCTCATGATGTTCTTGGGGTTATGCTGAACTACAGGGGCATGGAAGACTGCAGCAGAAGGAGGCATATGGGGTAGCAGCTGCCCATAAAGCGCATCTCCACTCATGTTGCACAGCATCCGAGCCTTAATATCAAGATCCCCTGTAATTGGGCCCAAGAGTTCACCACATTTTCCCCTTCTCTCTTCCATTCTTCTCCAAAAATGGTTACCTGTAATGGAGGTTGTGCAGGGCACGCCATCAACAGTCCCTTTGCTTCTTGCATGGACCAGGTAGCAGTCTTCTTCATACCCCTCATCTAGTGAATAGCGGGACCTCTTCACCGAGATGGAGAATGTTCCTATTCTCTGGCCATTCTCTGAGACGGCAACAAGTGACTCTTCAAAAAGGCAGGGCTGGATCTCATCTGTTCCTGAAAGGAAACACAAGGAATTCTATGTTCCCATTCCAAATGTAAAAATGCCCTTTCAAAAATACTAAATTTCAGTCCAGTAGCACATTAGAGACCAACAATATTTTGGAGTGTAAGCTTTTGAAAATCAAGGCTCCTGTTGTCATATACAAAAATACTCGCTTTGGTTGATGAAGTCCAAAAATTAGACAAGGCACACATAAACAATGAGGCTTCAATTTGGTTTATTTATATAGCAAAGCGTCTTATAACTGTAAAATTAATGGGCGGAGAACCTGGATCCCAGGATCAGTTTGGAGGGGTGGTTAAAGTACCCATAATCAAAGGGCAGTTCAGAAGGCCTATGGTCTCTCTTGGCTACCAATGACTCTTTAAGGGACGAGTGACATGTGGAACACAGCCTGCCCTATGCCCTCGCTATGTGAGCCTCATTTTCTGATACTACAATGTGGCTAACAATGGTGTGGCAACAGAAATCTACCCAGGGTGTCACCAATACAGAGGAAATTCCTTATATAAAAGAGATATGGACCCAAAGTAATTGGAACTGGCCATTGTTTGCCTTTGCCCTGTACTATTAAAATATTAACTAACCTTCTAGCCAGACCATAAGGTGGCTCAGAAAATGCCTAAAAACCTGTGTTCAATCACAGCCTTCTTTCAAAAGGCATGGTAGAATTATGTGTCTTGTGGGGAAAGCAGAATCAGGTGGAATGTATGCCAGAAATCATAATGGGAGACTAGAACCCATTCTTCTTGACAAACAGAAAGGGCAATTCTGGAGAGGCAGACGACACCAGGCAGTTGGCTGGGAGCCGTCTGGTCAAGTTTGGTTTTGCTTGAGGATTCACCAAGAAATATGATGATTTCCCTCCAAAAAGGTAGTTTTCTTGTATTTCTGACCTATATCATTTCTTGAAAATTTGTAAACTAGGAACTGCAAAACAAGACTTGCCTGTCTGTAAAATAAAAATACTGTCTAGCTGATTCTTCCCCACCCCCACCATTGACATAGAGGACAACTCTGAGGTGAACAGCAGGTGATACCCACCAATGAGTGAAAGGAACTCTATGGCACTCTTGCTTGCATTTGGGACTTTCTGTATTGGCGTCTCTTTTGCTATCTCCAATGAGTTTGCCACTTGCACTGTAGGCTGCAGATGCCCAGAAGCCATGGAATAGGTATACCTTCTAAAGGCTTGTAGGGAGGAATTCTGGAAAGAGGATATGGATTATGTAAGCCAAACACTAGACATGGTCATTAATGTTCTCATCCTAACAATGTAGATATACGTAACTGCCATTAACCAGCTTCTGTTGACGTAACAATAATCACTTCCTATGTAAATTAAAGGAGCTGCGGTGGCTCAAGTGGTTAAGACGCTGAACTGCAGTCTATGGAAGGTCAGTAGTTCAGCAGTTCGAGACCCGGGTGCCGCATGACAGAGTGAGCTCCCATCTCTAGTTCCAGCTCCTGCCAACCTAGCAGTCCGAAAGCAAGAAATTGCAAGTAGATAAATAGGTACCACTTCGGTGGAAAGGTAACAGCGTTCCGTGCACCTCTGCGTTTAGTCATGCCAGCGACATGACCACGGAAAAGTCTTCGGACAGCGCTGGCTCTTCGGCTTTGAAACGGAGATGAACACCACAACCCTAGAGGCAGATTCGACTGGCTTTCGAGCAAGGGAACCTTTATCTTTATGTAAATTAAACTAGATAAGCTTCCTTGTTATGTTGCTCCATAGCTGCAATCCCCTTAAAGAAGTTACTAGTGCACTTTGGATATGTAGGGTTGCACTGATGAAGATGGTTTGGTAGTTTCTTTTTGGATGGCACAAAAGTGAGTTTTCTTCCATTCTGATCCTGTCCTACCCCTACCTGGTGGCTACCAAAATTTGTATATTGCTGCCATGCCCCAGATCTCTACATCCAGATATATCGTGCAAATAGGTTCCTCATTAAACAAGTCAATCATACTACCAATCATTTTTTGTCTGCTTCTGGTAAGATTCATAGTCAGGGAAGGAACATTTTAACTATCTTATGTCTCACTTCTGTTCTGCCCACCTTTTATATGCCCCTCCTATCCCAGTGTGTAATAGCTGGGTGATGATGCCCTGTCAAAGAATACATTGAAGTTCAGTAAATGGAACATATCGGGGTCATTTCCTGCAGGAGCGCACAGGAGCAGAGCTCCGGCAGTAAAGAGCCCAGGGGTGGGCACATGCAACAAGCCCCACCCCCTGCTCCCAGCATCCCTCAGTCAGAGCAAGAAGCAGCCAGGTAAATTGCAGAGCCCCCCCCCCCGGCTCCCCGGTCCAAAAGAGTCCAGTGGCACCTTTAAGACCAAGTTTCATTCAGGTACAAGTTCTCCCTCCTCTTTGAGGACAGATCTGCATGCCCGCACCCCGAGCCTAGGAATCCAAAACAGTCTAGTCTAGTGGAGCCTGAGCGGTGGGTGTTGCCTTCTGACACACTTCCGGTGATGTCAGGCGGTGTGGCATATGCAAATAAGTTATGCTAATGGGTTATGGCTCCTGCACCTCTTTTTCTACGAAGTGACCTCTGGAACATATGCAGTCATTTCTGAGCTCAGGTACAAAGTTCGATGCTGTGCCCCCCTTGAAGAAGAAGAAGAAGAGGAAGAGGAAGAGGAAATTGGATTCATACCCCGCCCTTCACTACCTGAAGGAGTCTCAGAGGGACTTACAAACTCCTTTCCCTTCCCCTCCCCACAACAGACACCCTGTGAGGTAGGTGGGGCTGAAAGAGCTCTGACAGAAATGGCTCTTTTTCAAGAACAGCTCTTATCATAACTACGGCTTGCCCAAGGTCATCCAGCCAGGTACAAGTGGAGGAGTGGGGACTCAAACCCGGTTCTCCCGGATTAGAGTCCGTGCGCTTAACCACTACACCAAACCACTACACCAAACCATCTGTAGATTGAACTCCACATCTGTCAAATGGGAACAATAACAGTTAGCTCACTGGCTTGGTGTGATGGTGCAATAATTAAAGATGGTAAAAACTAGCTCATCCATTTCTTAAAAAATGCGTGCAGCAGTTTCAAACAGACCAGAATTTATCATTTGGTTATATACCAAGGAGAGACGCAGTGGTATACCAAGGGTGGAGCGGGGTGTGTGCTCTGCCCCGAGTGCAGCTTGAGGAAGGCCCTTGAAGGATGGCCCTTGAAGCCATGGTCATGCTGTGTCCAGCCAAACGTCTTTCCTTTTATTTTAAAATTGCAGTTCCGGCTGCAGCCACTAGGGGTACAGGGAAGTCTGAGCATAGCAAAAAGCACTCTAGGATCAGCTAGACTTCACTTTCTGAAGCCGAGCCTGCTTTGGCGGGGAGGGCGGGGTATAAATTGAAATAAATAAATAATAAATTTCTCCCAGACTGAAGCAAACTTGCTTAACAGATCGTACAACCAAGCCAGCACCCTGATAGCTGCTACAGTGCCAGCCTGCATGTCATTTTCTCCAATATTCTAGCCTTCCTTTTTTCCTTTCCTTGCACCCAGCTCAGCCTGAGCTTACAAAGCAGTAGTTACGGTGTGACAGCAAGATAAAACAACCTTCCCCTCTCTTAATTTCTCTTCCTTTTACCCACACGTTTCTCATTCATTTCTGTCTCCCTGCACCTAATTTCCTCCTCCCTGTATTTTCACTTCTTGGTCTCAAGACCTTCTCATCCCTGTCCTGCTGGGTGACGAGTAGTATAGTAGTAGTACAGAAGACACTGGGTTTGCTAGGTGCTGTACATTGCACTGTTTCTGCTGGGCTTCCAAATCCCCCTTTGCTTATGATTCTGCGCTTGACATTAACTGGCATTGCCACAATGGAACTGAGTCTGCTGGGCACTGTACATCGCATTGGTTCTGCTGGGCTTCCAAATCCCCCCCCCCGCTTGGACTGTGATTCTGTGCTTAACATCAGTTGGCATTGCCACAATGGCACTGGGTTCTGCTGGGCACTCTGTGATTGCACTGGCACTGCTGGGTACTCTGTACATTGCACTGGTTCTGCTAGCCATGCAAAAATGCCCCTCCCTTCAGTTTCCGCTGCAGAGATTCTCTGGTTTGACTTTAGTAATTTGGAATATTTTCACTTCTTGGGGCACTGTCTTGGGGGGGAGGTAGTGTGTTTCTTAACATCCAGTCTGTTGAAGCTTGTGATCATTATTTTGTGATGCTTTGATTAGTTAGCTGTTGTAGATTTACCGGGTTGTATGGCCGTGGTCTTGGCATTCAGACAAGAATAAAAGAACATGAAAGACACTGCAGACTCGGCCAACCTGAAAAATCAGCAGTGGCTGAACATAGCCTAACTCAAACAGGACACAGTATTTTGTTCCAAGACACTGAAAGGCTGGACAACACATTCAAATACCATGTCAGATCACACAGGGAAGCCATTGAAATTCATAAACATAAACACAATTTCAACGAGAAAAGAAGCGAGTTTTTTAAAAAATAGGGCATAGTTTCCTGTCCTGAAAAACACAAAAGGCTCTACATCTGACAATAGCACTACAGATAAGATTAGAATCCACATGCAAAAGAACCTCCTCAGGAAACAATCCATATACAAAAGAACCTGAAAAATTACTATGTAAACCGCCCAGAGACCCTTCGGGGTCAGGGCAGTATATAAGCCGAAGTTATAAATAAATATAAATAAATATAAACCTCCTTAGGAAAGCTCCCCCATTAGCATGTCACAGCCTGGGGAACTCCAACAAGATAATGACTCAACCCTACCCCACCTTCCTGAGTAGATAAAAATTACCTGCCTACCATTTTTCTTCTCACCTTGCCACAGAGAGTACTGCATCTTTCTGTGTTATACCTCTGAGGATGCCAGTCACAGCTACTGGCGAAACATCAGGCCCTACAATGTCAAGACCACGGCCATACAGCCCAGAAAATCTACAACTGCTAATGAACTTCGGCCGTGAAAACCTTCGACAAGCTTGGATTAGTGTTAGTTAGTAAAAGTTAGTACAAAGGCAGACTCCTAGCTCTCAAAAATGCCCCATAGACATTTGGAGAACAGAAGCCCTCCCAAGTGCCTGCTCAGAACATGAGTGGTGAGATGCAATTTATATATTTATTTTGCATTCAGAGATAGTTTTCCGTTTCCTGCCTCTACCTCGGCCCTGCTTCACTTCTGAGATCTGGTGAGATCAGGCTATGCTGGGGCTGCCCAGGTCAGGGCTAGGCTGAGAGTAATGGGACTGGCCCATGGTCACCCAGCAAGTTTCCATGACACGAGTGGGGGTTCGAATCTGGATTTCCCAGACCCTAGTCCAACACTTTAACCACTACACCATGTTTGCTGTCATAATGAAATAGCATGTTGGAATTTGAATGTCTTTTACTGGCATGATTATATATACAAAGTTAAGTAAAATAATTTTTTCACTGTCTGCATTTCTTTTCTTGCCGTTGAAACAAAGTTTGTGTCCAGTGGCACCTTTGGTGTAGTGGTTCAGTGCACGGACTCTAATCTGGGAGAACCGGGTTTGATTCCCCACTCCTCCACTTGCACCTGCTGGATGACCTTGGGCAAGCCGTAGTTCTGATAAGAGCTGTTCTTGAAAAAGAGCAGTTTCTGTCAGACCTCTCTCAGCCCCACCTACCTCACAGGGTGTCTGTTGTGGGGAGGGGAAGGGAAAGGAGTTTGTAAGATGCTCTGAGACTCCTTTGGGTACCTGCCTGAATCTCTTTTCTGGCCATTATTACTATTCATTTTATTTCATGATTATGACTGAAAATAATTTTGCTGTATAGAGGAGGGGCCCTGACCTGGACAGCCCCAGCCTAGCCTGATCTCATCAGATCTCAGAAGCAAAGCAAGGCCGACGCGGAGGCAGGCAACGGCAAACCGCCTCCGAATGTCTCTTGCCTCGAAAACCCCGTGGGGTTACCATAAGTCAGCTGTGACTTGACGGCAATAAATAAATAAATAGAGGAGAGGGGTGTTAAAAAAGTATCCGGCCTGGGCACCAAATAAGCTAGGTACACAATATGGACACTGCAAAGGATCCAGTTAGTTATTATACCTAGACTACGAGTCTTAGCACTAACTGGTACAGTGACTACAATATGTGGTATGAATGAAACTACAGTTCCCAAGATTCCTTGAGGGAAGCTACGACAGTTAAACTGATGCGTATTTGCAGTATTTGCCACATAATACCTCTTTCT